ACGGGAAATTGCGTAAAGACTATCCGTCACAACACATATAAAGTTTGTCCAACGCATTTCCTGAGGGGTATGACCAAAAAGTTTTTTTTATAAAGGATGGGTGTGGGGAAAAAAAACTCTCGAGATCAATTGTTGGAGATTTACAAATGATTTTTTTTGGTAGGGAGATTGGTCAATGCCAAAAAGGACACTTTGAAGCCGGCAACGGTCCATCAGCGCAACGTTTATGGAAAATTTGCAAGCGTACTGACCTGCACGTAAGACATGGGAAATGCAATTGATATATAGCATTTGGAGTAAACATATGTGTGTACGGCCTTGTTGTAGGGTTGGGTATTGTCGGTATGGGCAAGAGAGCAAATTGTGGATAAATCTTGCCATGCTGGATTGCGATGGGGATATGCGGTAGTAGTGGCCACCCTTCCAAATCATTCATTTTGAGGAATGCCGGTATGGTCCAAAATAGAAAGATTATCCCCGGTTCGAGCGATCGTTCGTTCTTTCTCCAAGCGGCGACACATCATACGTTCTAGATACAAAGAAGGAAGAGATAGTGTATTAATAGTTAAAAGTAAACTTAAATTAGGAAAAAGACACACAAATCGAATAAATAGAGCTGGAACAAAAAATTTAAGGTCAAACTTCTTGGTGACTGAGACAAATATCAGGATCTGCGTATTACGGAACGGAGCAATGTAAATGTACACACCTTGAATCGTCAATAACAAATTTTATGTCACTGCCTGATGGGACTCGTGCGGCTATAGATTTTTTTCTCAAAAAAGGGGCAAAAGAGAGCTTTTTGAAAGCCTTTTACTTGTGTGAGTTCGTCACACCTGGATATAGAAAGTTGGTCTACAGACTCTTCCAGGATGTTGCAAGCAAATCCGAGTCTTGAATCAAGCTCTCGTACTTGGTAAAAGAAATTGGGTCAATTGAATGCAGTCGGGTGAAACTTACATATTTGGGCTATATGTATGGGCTAAAACTTGAGCAGAGGACCAGACTTCAGTTGTCGGGGTGTGATGATTCGAAGATTCCGGGGATTAAACCGCTTTGTAAAGCCCAATGTACACAATTCGTTGAATCCCTGGCCGCCATCTTCCGGAATTCAACGGCTTGTGATGCTTCACCCCCCGCTACACCCCAAACCAACCGACTAATCGCCGACCCATAAAAGTCCCCCTACGCGATTTTTTTGTAATTCGTTGAAGACAGATGATTTTTGTGCCCCTGGTCTGGTATCCGATCAGCAAACTTGTGGGTTCTCAACAACCGCCCAAGCAACCACCTTTTGTACCCTCACCCCCTCTGAACCGTGCTGCATTAAAGTAGCCGAAGCCCGGGATGCTGCTCTGAAAGGAGTCGCCCGGTCCCTCAACCCAGTAGATAACATTCCGTGAATAGCGTCAGGTGCAGCTCTGGGGGCGATGGTGCTCTTTGCGGGGATAATTGTGGGATGTATCAAGACCCGACGATTGAAGCGCAGCGCTACGGTTGCTAATGAACCACCTCAATCAGATATCAAGCCGGGACCCTACAGACTATCACGGTCACTGAGTAGCTGGGTACGCAGCGGACGTTAGGTACTCATGCACCTCGAACTACAACTTTCTTTTGGTGAACGAAGAAGTTGAAGTTCGAGATGTGTGAAAACTCTAATCGTTACCCTTACATTTGTACATATTATCCATTACCAATAAGAATAAGAATTCACGCACGGTCCAGAATGATTGTTCAATTGAGAAAGTCATAGGTGTATGTCTGCATTGCGCTATAGATTGAGTTTGATTATATGTTGAATGTGTAAGAGGTGTGGTGGGCTTCTTTTTTTTTGTGAGGAAGAGTTGAAAGTATGTTTTTTGATTGATTGTACGCATCTCATGATTCTGGTATATGAAACGGGGACAGAAAACCCCCGCCTTGGAAAGTGACTTCATCGTACACGTTCTCAGTCCGCCATGGTAAGCGCGTCCGCGTATTGGACCTGTGGATATTGCGGGCGTGGGAACCGCGGACGACGCGTTTGGAATAGATATGCGCAGTGTCGGAAAACGTTTTCCCCGACTTTCTTTATTTATCCTGGCCATTATGTGACCCAGATGGTTGTTTTTTTATGTTGAGTTTTACCGTTTTTGAGAACGGAAAGAGTTTCTGAACAGTGGTAATAAACATGTGATGAAGTGCGGCCTAATGTGCTTGTATAAGTGCTGCTGGATATGCAAGGAATATTCTGAAAATCCTTTGGAAGCAGACAAAGAATGGTGGGATATTGGCATAATTGGTACATGTAAAGATCGAGATCGTAACCCTTCCCATCAGGCACATTCCAAGCAGATATTCAAAACGGTATATAACCAAAAAGAGGAGAGTCATGACTGTATTCGCTCAACAATATACAATTCGTCACAGTACCGGATACGTAACGGCAGTATGAGTCCACCCACTCTCCATCCAGTCAAAACACATCCTGCCCTTTCCCCATCCACCCCTGTCACAACACCAAACGATGTCGGGTTTTTGAGGGCGTTGGTTAAAAGGTGAGGTAAAGAGGGCAGCGAGACGGAGATTCCTGCGTAGGATTGGATGGTGGATATCCATTTCCAGGTATGGGATAGTGAGGGGGTCGGTGGAGTGGTTGTGATGAGATGGGTAAATGATGTATTACTGATGAAGGGGATCATGGGGTCAGCGTACTCGGTCTTGTCGTAGGCAGACTCGGGGTATTGGTATAAGAAATTCGTGACTCCGGTCATGGCTGCGGATACTCCTATATGGATATGGGGGTTGACTGTTTTTGGTGGTGATGGTAAAGAGTGGAGATGGGAGTGGAGGGTGTGGAGGGCGTGGGCTCCTGGGTAATTCCAGGATGAAATGTGGAGGTAGAGCGGCGTAAACATGAATTGAAGAAGGAGGATGAGGAAGGGTAGCCGGGACACGATCAATCTTATAGAAGGGCCAGTGGTCCGTGATGGCTGTGTCTGAGATGAAGACCACCGGAGCAACGAAACGAGAGAGACGGATGTGGCTAATGCGGCCATTGGCAAAACATACATGACAAACCGCCATTCCTTATGCGGCAACGCAGAGTACAGCCCGATAAACCCCCAAAACGGGAGCATATACTTTCTCACCCGTCCATCCCTTGCCACCGCCCAGAATCCCAGCCAATACAGCGGCGCCAAATTTAGAATGAGCTTGGTAAAATAGGCGTGAAATGGTAAGGTCCCATAAGCTCTTGATCCGTCCTGGATGGTGTTGAACCGCAGAACTGTGAGTTCGGGCCAAGTCAGATGGCCCCAAAAGTAAGTGTCGAGCAGAGTTGTCCAGACAATGCATCCGACGGAAGCCGCCAGACAAAACTTCAATTGCGGAAAGATGGGTCTCGGGGCCGAGACTTGGTTTGACAATAATAGAAAGATGGCCAGTGGAGTCACATCACAGCGAATCACAGCCGATATAAAGATCAGCATCAATATCCCTCGTCTCGTCATTCTCGGTTGTCCAATCCATTCGCTCATGGCGTACATGACTCCCGCAAGAGCAAACACGTTGCCCACCGTCCTGCTTGCCCAATATCCCATTTGAACACACACCAGTCCAACGATCGCCATGAACCGCTCAACCTCACCCCCAAACTCACGACCAACCGCTCTTCGCACCCGGTTGGTAGCCCATGCAACTCCCACTCCAACCAGTCCTCGCGTCAGTACTTGATACATCAGTCCATACTCCCGAACCGGCCACGCAACCGTCAACGGTGCCAGTATACTCGATATGAGAACAGGGACGGTAAACGATCTTGGGACAACGCCCGGGAACGCAAAGTGATCATAGTGGGTCAGGTTCAGTGGGCCGTAGTGGAGGATATCGTGGGTGGCCTGGAGGTGAAAGGACTCTTCGACTTTGGTGAATGGGACCAGGACAAGGTAGGATAGGACTTGGATGTAGGTTAGCAAGGACAGCAATCGCGATTGGATCCTGCCCATGAGGAGAGCGGTTTTTCGGGCAAGTTACGGTCGACGAGTCCTATGTCGGGTCCGGTATAAAGACCGCGGAGTGTGTCTCTTCTCTTGTGTCGAGGAAAGGCTGTCCGCAGGGATGTCTGCACTCCGACTTCGACCGACGATACCGTACAGTACTCTCCGCCATCGAAACGGACGACAACAACATGGTTCTGTACGCCATCAGATTATGAAAATTCCACAAGCCCGTATGGCGAAGTGGTATCGCGTCTGTCTTGTAAACAGAAGATCCCAAGTTCGATCCTTGGTGCGGGCACATCCATTTTTTTGATCTGTGACCTTTTTGCTCTCGTTTTGGCCATCTTCTTTTGTTGGACGTCCTTCCTGATATGAGAAAAAAACGATCCTCATCGGAGAAAATAATAATAATTTTGGCGACTATATGGAGTGAGTATGTGGGATGTCGTCCCTCTTACAGGAGGAGCAGATATGAAACCATGATGATTTTGGTGACTGTGGAGTGAGTCTGTTGGACATGCTCCTTCTAATACAAAAAGAGCAGCTTTGAGGAAATGATCCTCATCGGAACAAATAGTGATAAGTTTGGTGACTGAATGTTGGATGTCCTCCCTCTTATGAAGAACTTGAAGAACAGATATGGCACAAAAAAGCGATCCCATCGGCGAAAATAATGATGATATTGGTGACAATGGAATGAGAAATGTTGGACGTCCTCCTTTTTTGAACAAAAAGAGCAGCTTTATCGAAAGAAACGATGATAATTTGGGTGACTATGGCGTGAAGGGTATGTTACCATTGAGAGAAAACTAGCGCACATGAACGAAAAGATAGAGGAAGCTTTGTACTAATGGAAGGAGACAGGTTTGAGTCAAGGAAAGGTAAAAAGAAGAAACCTATTTGGACAGAAAGTAACTAGCAAAGGAGGTGGATTAAGAAAAGTGGGGGAGTTCGACGTGGAGAAGCGATCAAGACGGGAAGCAATATTTACGCCGACAAATCTTTGAAATTTCACCAGCCCGTATGGCGAAGTGGTATCGCGTCTGTCTTGTAAACAGAAGATCCCAAGTTCGATCCTTGGTGCGGGCATAGTTCCTTTTTTTTCCCGATCAATGTCCTCTCTCTTACACAAGAGAAGGCTCAGGGAAAATATACAATTTTGGTCGTTCTGGAGTGGGCAAGCTGTTTATCACCGACAAAGGTAGCTAACAAGTCAAGAATTGGAACAAATAATGGAGGAAGGACTCCCATGTAATGATGAGTGAAGAATTTTAGGCGGAAACAAAGTGTATGTATGTAAAGGAAGTTTGTACTGGAGGGACGAAGAACATTCAAAGTAACAGCGGAAATCAAAACCGATTGAGAAAATATATTAAATTTGGATAAAAAAATGTAGTAAGAATACAGGGAGAGGGACAAGGGAACGGCTAGAAGAAAGCAACCATCAAACTGAGTTGACCTACCTACCGATCCTGACCTTGCCAGACTTTTCCATCTTCTTCAAAACCCCTAAGTACAGACAAAGGAAGTAAAACATGATTAGCATTGAAGCTGACAAAAGCGTCACAACTTTCGCTGCCAGCACCGTGCCAAAGAACTCTGGATTGGATAGCGCCTCACGAGGCTAACTTCACAATCGGACAGGTGGATCAAATGCAAGAGATGTTCCCGCTGCCAGGGGTCGGAAGACGCACTTCACCAATATGGTAGGTACAATCAGTCCGGACTCCCCACCCAGAGCATCCAGGTGCTTTCCACTTGTACAGGGCACGGGCGGCAGATTATGGAGACACCTTACCGCTAATAGCTCGGACAGCGAACATCATACTGAGTTGACGGAGGGACGGAGCTGCCAATGCTGACCTTGGCAGACTTTTCCATATTCTTCCAAATCCGAAAGCGCCTTTGCTCTGAACGACCGCAAAATATGATTAGCATTGAAATTCAAAAAGCATCACAACCTCTGCTGCCAGCGCCGTGCCAAAGAACTCCGGATCGGATAGCGCCTCAAGAGGCTAACTTCACAACCGGACAGGTGGAACAAATGCAAGAGACGCTCCCGCTGCCAGGGGCCGGAAGACGCACTTGACCAATATAGTGAGTGCAACCTGTCCGGGCTCCCAACCCACTAATGGGGCTCTTCGGAATTCTCGGTACAAGAAGAGATTGGATCGCGCCTCATGAGGCTAACTTCGCAATCGGACAGGTGAAACAACTTCGTGAGTCGCTCCCGCTGCCAGGGGCCGGAGGACGCACTTGACCCGTATGTTAAGTACAGCCAGTCCGGGCTCCCCACCCAAGCATCCAGGTGCTTTCCGCTTGTACAGGGCACGGGCGGCAGAATATGGAGACGGCCGACATCTTACCGCGGGTGGCCCTTCGAAACATTTCTTGCCTGATTTGATCGAACGACCCAAGCCTGCTTGCGGAACAGTGTCAGGAGTCAATATATGAGCTTCTTGGTTGCATCGTGATGAAGATCAAGCGAGTTCAGCGCGGGGAGAATCAGACCCTGCTCTCCCCCACTGCGGACAGGGCACTTTGGCCGAAAAGGGTCAGATTGCCAAAGTAGGGTCACGCGTGAATTGTTTTTGAGATCTACGACTTTGCACGGTACACAATCACCGAGAAGTAGATCTCTAATCTCTTCAGTATTCCGACGTTCTCCGGGGAAACATTCTTCTTGTGAAATCTCTTTTGAGACGCTATGCCACCGCAACCTGCGAGGGAGTGTGGTAGAAAGCACTGCCATGTTCCAATTCCCGAGAATTCAAAGCACAAGAATTGCGACAGATGCCGTGAGCTCAACAGGACCACTACACACAAGCGACGGCAACGCACGAAAGAAAACATATCCTCGTCTCTGGAACCTCCTGCGAAAAGCCCAAGGTTAGAGTCAGATGGACCATCCAGTAACACCTTTGGTGATGACGATGAAGACGAAGCGGTGGGTTGACCTTTGTGGTAGTGTCAAACTCTCTTATCTGAGATTTATGAAGGGCCAGACGTCATATACTTCTGCTCAGAGTATGCTTTCTGCTTTACATGAGGTGGCGAAATCGTCTCCAGACCTAATTGTTTTCCATGAAACATGTTCCATACCAGCCGAGAGTGGCATATCCGACCGCGAGCGTGTCAAGATGATGGCCAAGGACATCTGGGATGTGACGGGTTACCGTTTTACGTGAGTTCAATCTACTCGTTCCAAGAACTCACATACTGAGCATGGATACAGCGTACGTGACAACAAAAAGCTGGCAGCGGGGCATCGCACCCGGTACTTCTGTAGCCAAGACGCGGAAAGAAAGAAACAACCCAAGCCGTCGCAGAAACCTGGTGTCAAGAACCGAGAGCATGTTGGCATGAAACGCTTTCTCTGTAAAAGCTCCTTGACTATCAATTGTCGACGCCTTGAGCATAATTGGCAAATATCCGTCAAACTGAAGCACGTCAACAATCATCCACATTTCATAGATGTATCAATGCCCGAGGGAGCATTGGATCTCATCAGAGAGCATGCGGGATGGCTGAAACCGACCGCCCTAGTGGCGAAGGTCCAGACTGCCTTCCCCATGGTTACAGCTACGCAACTCCACACCGCATGGCGCCAAATGAGTCAGGTTCACTGGAAGCGACATGACCTACAAGTGCAGTCCGCTGAGATCCTGCTCGCCGAGTATGGGGGTTCTGTCGACATCCTCAAAATTGATGGACTGCCCGAGGGGGTCGAAATGCTGGCTTGGGGGATGAAGGAAGTTGCCGGGAAATTGAGCGGGCGAGCGCGTGAGATTGCAATGGACGCAACATGTAAGCTACCAAAACTGATTGTCAAATGCCTATCGCGTGTAGTACCATATTAGCTAAGAATGTACCGCACTGTGACACTCATATCTCGACAATTTTAGATAACACCAACTCCAAGCATCTAGAACTTTACACGATAATGGCAGAATGCGATGGTGCAGGATTCCCACTCAGCTACTGCCTTCTAACTACAGCAACTGCGGTAGAACAGCGCAAGAGGACAAAAGCACTCGCAGAGTGGTGCCGTCGGGTCAGAGATGAGTATGACATCCGTCTTACTTTCATTCACATTGACAAGGATATGGCGGAAATTGCAAGTTGCAAACAAGTCTGGCCACAGGCCAAAATCAGTCTCTGCCTCTGGCACCTCAAACGGGCAGTGCGTACCCGGCTGTCAAAAACAAAACTTGCTACAACAGCATATCACGCCGACCGCGCCCATGATGAGTTTCCATTCATCAAACGCACATTTAAGCCATCAGGATCCAACACGGATGCGGATGACTACGAGGGCGGTTTACCCGACGATCACCCGCTAGAGTCTCAGTCAGTTGCGGAACTGGACCCATTCGCCATATTTATACGATTGCCGATGCGAGCACAGCCCGTCACCGCAGATATATCGGCGAGTGAAAACTCACATTCACAGACCAATACAGCTATAGATTTATCTTTCACACGACAGCCGGAAGCGGAAGAGCAGAGTGAAGGGGAATCGGGCAGCGATGAAGCAAAGAAGAGGGATTGCCGCACATTCTGTCCAGCTCACCTCAGGGAGGAGGTCTTAATGATGATGGAGCACCACTTTTGCGCCCATCCAATGATCCCAGGATACTCTGCCCCGGCACCTGCGGGAATCCGAAGGTGGGCTGTTGCCCAAATGTATAGGTACTGCGAGGCGAATGACCTCCCCGAGGTCTGGGCGTATTTGTGGGAAAACTGGTATCGTGCCAGGCGATGGGGGTTGTGGGCGCGTTGCGCCCATGACGAAATACCTGTGCTGAGAACGACGATGATGGTTGAAGCCCAGTGAGTATTGATGTCCACAATAGCAGCACGCCGAACTCACCTACCGCTACAGTTGGAGTCGTCTCAAGCAGGGTTTTTTGCACCAATTCCACATGCCCCGGTGCGATCTGCTGGTTTGGATATTGGTCACTCAGCTGGGGCCTACCTATCATCGTAGATTGGACAGCCTGTTAAGTGGAGAGAACGACGTCAGTCGGTATAGGGATCCCCCATCTTGGAGAAAGGCCTTCAAAAAGATGTGGCGGAAGCTGGAGACAGCGGCGGTGCCGCAGCCTCTCAATGATCAGTACAAGCCGGATGCAAAAGCATGGAAATGTACTTGCCCGTCCTTTGTCATTAATTGGTTTCTAATCTGCAAGCATCTCGTACAACGAATGCGCCGGGTGCCGGTCGTTTTCTTTTGGGAAGTCAAGCGCCAGCGGACAGCCCCCTACTGGAAACACCCATCACTGCGTGTCATCCATGATGATGAGGAAGACAGCGACGACGACGACGACGACGAGGGTGGCCCAGGTGATGTGGAGGGGGTGGCGGAGGCAGGGGGCTGTGCCCTGGATGCAGAAGACCCTGCGGACGGCGAAGATGACGACGAGGAGACATCGGATTGGGAGCAAGAGGAGCTTGAGGACGGTGATCCAAACGACTGCCATCAGACGTTTGAGGAAGAGATGACCGAAATCTGTAAAGTGCTGTCGGAATTCGGGCGCGGACTTGAGTTCCAGGTCCAATTCCGGGACTATAGAATGCTACAAGCTCTCAAGCGGGAGGGAGCAACATTTTTGAGGATGGCTAGGGGGGCATTGCAAAAGGAGAACAGGCTGCGGGGGACGCGCGGCAAGAATGCCACTACGTGGGAGTCGTCATCCAACGGCGTCATGTTTTATCGTGCCCGGCCTCCGGTGATTGATGAGAACACATGAGTTGAGTGATTGTTGTTAGTCCTACTTTCCGGTATACCATCCTTTAGTCTTAGTTCTTCTACATTTAGTTGTTGGACCTCTCTTATTGTTTCTCGTTTTTCCGTCTCAATCTCTATTTATTGTTTCACGCCTTTGTTTTATACTCTCAAATTGGAAGCACTATATATATCATAACTTTTCATCCTTCCCGTAAAGCTCCCCAACAATCCTAAACGCAGGGCAAGACGCCTTGGTACATCTGAGAAGATGATCCGAACAAACTCCGAAACAGTGGATCTTATCACGTGACGTGTCCGCGGTGGGGGCGACGATCGGCACTTGATGCGTGCCATTCGG